GGTTATTTTTTTAAATGATTATCTCCATCTTTACCCTTAGTAGAAAATCCTGTTATCATCAAGTAATGTAATATATCAAGGCCCCAAGGCTATCTTGCCACATTTCATTCTGGCATAGAAATCTAATTCTCTCCCCATAAAGTCAAAAAGACAAAGTTGGGTAGTATATATGTTTTCAAATTTAGTTCAGGGTCAAGTTATAAAATCATTGTGCTCAACTGATAGTTTAGTGATAGTATAAGGTAATACAGTCAATGATTCCTCAATGGTTTCAGAAAATAATGAGCCTATTTCCAGCAAAGAAAAAGTCACTATTTTTGCTTCTCTGCTGTGAAAGATCACAGTGTATGTGGTGTTTAAAGATGAATGTTTTGGAGTCAGAAAGACCTAGATTTATATCTGGGTTCTACCAACTTACCATCTCTGTAACTTGGGCATTTTGTCTATTGTCTAAGTTTCAGTTTCACATCAGTGGGATGTGTAATGATCATGTCTACTCCCAAGCTGTAGGGCAGTAGGAAGGACTAACCAAGATAAAACAAATAAAATGATGAGAAGAATGCCTGCATTACTAAGTGAACAGCATAAAATGTAAGTTATCATTAATATTGTGGTTACTAATCAGAGTAAGTTAGGGGTGTGATTAAGCAATGACTGGGGCACCAGACTGTTTGCATTTAGGTCTCCCTTCCCCTACTTACTGTCTGTGTGAACTTGAACAAGTAACTTGTCTTCTCTGTGTCCCAGTTTCCTCATCTGTGCAATGAAGACTCCTAGCATCTACTCCACACAGTTGTAAGGATTAAACGAGTTAACAGCATTGTTCTATGGGACTTTCTATGATTATGGGAATATTCTAAATCTGTACTGTCCTATATGATAGCTACTAGCCACATATAGTTACTGAGTACTTGAAATGTGGCTAGTGCAACTGAGCTGAATTTTTAATTTAATTCACTTAATTTAAATGTAAATAGCCACACATGGCTAGTGGCTACCATTTGGACAATGCAGACTAAGAACATTGCCCGACTGTCTTAACCCATTAGCACTTGAACAAATGCCGGCGTTGTGTGTTAGCCAGTAGCGGCCGGTGCTGATGAGCGTAGGTTACACAAAGGCACCTGCTTCTCCCTGCAGTGACCACAGGCTGAGGAAGAGAATAAAGTTCATGATTGAAAGCACTGGAAGTAAGGGGTGTGGGGTGAACTCCTACATCATATGGATCACATTGTCAACTAAATTCATTCTTTCTCAAACTTTTTCCTTCAATCTCACTTCAGTTTTAAATATAGTTATGTATATTGTAAAGCATATACTCCATAGAAGAGATCTTGTGATTTCCTAAAAGGTAATTTCTTCCCAAAAGTTTGTGTGTATGTGTGTATGTGTGTCAATAACTTTCTTGTTTACCAAAGAATCAGTTGCTCATTATCATGGAATAGCATAAAAGATAAGAACTAAGTACGTTAATATTGGTGAATCATGTTTAAAGTGGAAAAGCATTTTTTGTCAATTTTTCAAGACAGAGATATTTTAAATGGAAAAATTCAAAGAATCAGGGCCATCAAACCTGGAAAATAACTTAATAACACTGAGTATAACATAGGCTTTATCCTTTTCTCTGGTTCAAGTAATAGCTACCCTTCTATAAGGTGAATACACATAAAAGTGTCTTCTTGATCTAACTCTCTGGATTGCTAAAGGCTCCCTTTACTTGAGGTTTTATGAGAGCAAGGAAATCAGAAACATAATTATGCTGATATGAAAATTATTTTTACAGCATTAAGGAAAAGCAGTGCAGATTCCCTAAAAAATTAGATTTGAACAGACATTTTCAGCCACAGTGGTCATCATTCGCAGCATTTCATAGATACCACAGCGTGGCACACCATTCAAATACACACTCAATATGAAAATACTGTGCCTATGTTCCATTTTCCTCAACAGAATGAGGAGAAATATCTCCACTTAAATTCCTAAGTAGAAAATAGTGATGTTAAATTTTGGACAGGCTTTTACATTTGGTTTGGTTTGAGTTTTAAGGCTCATTATCATTTCAGTAGTTAGGCGAAGGAAGTTTAAATTTGGGTATAAGAGACAGATGTCAGGAAAGTGACACCGAGTCTCTGACAATTGCAAAAGAAGCATTCTCCAACCTGGAAGGGCCCTCTTTTTTCATCTTCCTATCCCTTCCAAGCCCCTTCACTACTCCAGGAACCGGAAAGGCTGGGCATTATTTATATACTCCAGCTGCAACTAATTATAGAGATAATCTCTGGAAGCAACCTGATTAGACATGACATGAAATTACCTAGAAGACTTAATATTTTAATCATATTCATATCTAAAGCCTACCCATGAAGGCCCAAACACACATGCCAGCTTTTCAAATACCTGATTTCCCTCATCACTGTCATCAGTGACCAGGAAAGATGCACGTGGCTTTCCACAGCCGGATCTTCCCATGGTGCTCGCCTCCCAGTGTGGAGATGGTTCTCATCCTGGAGCCCTGAGCCCCCGAGGGCCATGCAGAGATCACAGGGTCTATCCAAATGAACCCCCTAAAACTACTTGCAGTTGTGCATGTCTCATATTTGTCACTGTATAAATCTGTGTGGAGGAAGAGTCAGTAGATATTTTCAGATGTTTTAAGGGGCTTGTGCTCAGACTTATACGAGTATACAGGAGGCAGATGGCTCCAAAATATCCCCCCCCAAATTAAAATGATCAGAGCAAATAATGTTACTAGTAGTGTCTCTGAAGGAGCCCTACTTTCTCGAATTTAGACAGTTTTTGTAGATGTTATCTTTAGTTTGTATTTTTTTTTAATGCAAAAAGAAAATTTCAACTTAAAGTAGACAGGCTCTACTGCCTGAGATGCTAATGTAATTGTTTGGGGAGGGCCTAGACCTCTTTAATTTTAAAGTTTCCCAGTGATTCCATTGAGCGTGCCAGGCTGGGGACCACTTACTAAAGTGCTGCACACACTGCCTGGCTCACAAGCCATGCTCAGTGGTGACAGCTGCTCTGGTCACCATCATGGTCACCGTCTGCTCCACCCCTGATTCCTGTGAGCCTGCTCTCCGCCCATCCCACCCCGGGAGATGGGGATCTGAATGCAATAAACATGGATGGGGAATCGGCTACAATTTTCATTTTTCTTACACATTTAAAAAATCCCATAGATATAGGTTTAGTCACAAACTGTATGTTCTAGATTAAAGCCATGAAGTTCTATTCTTGACTATAGAGTCTTCTTTTCTGGGCAATGTCCTTCCCCTTTCATTAGAAAGTCTCATTTCCACATGACATTTTCTATATGACACACACTGCCTAAAGAAATAAGGTATAATAATGACTGGGTTGTTGTATAGGAAAATCAAATAACCATTAAATTCCTTTTTTAAGCAGTCAGCCTAATTGAACAATATTTACTGGGCATTGGCTATATATTGGAGTAAAAAGTAGGCTAGAATATAAGGTGAATAAGACAAACTCCCCCAGCCTGGCTGGTGTGGTACAGTGGTTGAGCGTCAACCCATGAACCAAGAGGTCGCTAGTTCAATTCCCAGTCTGGGCACATGCCCGGGTTGTAGGCTCGATTCCCAGTAAGGGGTGTGCAGGAGATAGCTGATTGATGATGTTTCTCTCTCCTCGAAGTTTCTATCTCTCTGTCATTCTCCCTTCCTCTCTCTCAATAAAAAAATTAAAAAAACAACAACCCCCCCAAGCTTTGCCACTTCAAAAAGCAGAAGCTGCAATGCATTAGCCTTTACTATGTGTCGTGATGCTTTATATGTACTATGTAATCCTACCCTTTTATTTCAATGAAGGACTTTTATTATTATCTTGTTCCCAAATTACTTAGCAGGGGTCCTCAAACTTTTTAAACAGGGGTCCAGTTCACTGACCCTCAGACCGTTGGAGGGCCAGACTATAGCTTTTAAAAAATACTATGAACAAATTCCTATGCACACTGCACATATCTTATTTTGAAGTAAAAAAACAAAACGGGAACAAATACAATATTTGTATTTGCATGTGGCCCGTGGGCCGTAGTTTGAGGACCCCTGACTTAGTGCTTTACAGTTCCATCCACAGGATACACAGCCCCTAAGCAAACAAGCTAATGCTATAGGCATCTGGACATGTTCCAGCACACTGTGCTGGTGTTAGGAAAGCATGTAGTTCCAGGTGTGTGGCACAGTGAGGCACAGAGTAAACACAACTACTGGTAATAGCATTCCCTACATCACCCCATAGAAGTGTCAGTCAGTTCAGAGCCAAAGAAACTGAGTCTCAGAGAGGATGAGGAAGTCACAAGACCCCACTCTTAGGAAGTTGGCATTGAACTCTGGCATCTCCTGCCAAACACCTGATCCTGCCGAGATATGGATAAACTCACCCACAATTAGCTTCACCCTCTCCTGACTCAGATGTTGTAGCTGCAGATGAAGTCTCTTCTGACTATTTTAGTGTCCAGCTTCCTCTCTTCAAGTTCAACAGTGAGGACTCCCTCTTTGAACATAGTTCTTTATAGTGTTTCTAATAGTGAGAAGGCACCGGCTTCCTGGAGCATTTTTTCCTCTTGAACTCGGGAATTCCCCAAGTCCTGGCAAGAAACCTGAGCCCTATCCAGAAGCAGAGTTCATCTGGCCACCCTCACCACGAAATCTGTTACTACACCAAATGCATTTCCACTGCCTGCTGACAAAGAGCAGCCAGTAGCCAGGCTATTAACCTGAGTTCTAATTAGGGTGGTTTTTATAATGAGGAAAAGAGTGTGGTTCTAATTAGTAATTTTCCATCTTTTTCTCAGTAGGTTTCTCCCAGTCAAAGCAATAAGCTATCTGCATCGCACTGGTTCCTTCCCTTGCCAAAAAATAATCCTACTGCAAAACAGAAGCAAAAGTGAAGGTGGTTGAGGACACAGGAGAGCAGAGAGAGGTTTTATGTGCTGCTAATGAGCTGTGTTCTCCCCCCAACTCTTCTCTTAGGTCCGTGGCGCTCAGATGGTTGGTTCTGACATGGTTGTGACAGTTGAGTTCACCAATCCCTTAAAGGAATCACTGAAAAATGTTTGGATACGCCTGGAAGGTCCTGGAGTGATAAAACCAATGAGGAAGATGTTCCGGTATGTGCTGAAGGGTTGTGGGGCTGTGGGACATTTAGTTCTCCATCTCTTTTCCAAACTTACATCTAATTCCCAATGAAAATGTCTCAGAGGCTGCCACTTCCTTACTGGCATTTCTGTGGGGCATGAAGTAAAAATAGGGCTGGTTTGATCAAACTTCCATCACTTAATTCCTAAAACCATCCAAATGAGGTGGGTACAAGTATTATCTTCCTTCGGGAGGATAGGAATTTGAGGCTTTGAGAGATCAACTGATTTATCCTGAGGTGCACAGCTTATAAGAGTGACACCAAGATTCAGACTCAGGGTGGCTGATTCCAGAACCAAGTGTCCAGCATTTCTGTGCCTTACCACTTCCTCATGTATCAATTCTACTAATGTGTCAAATATGTTACTAATAGCATATATGTCAAATCTGCTATTCCTTAAGTATTCCTTTTCTTGGATTATTTCTTCCCAACTCCACCTCCCAGACTTCACCAGCCCAAGCACTCAGGAGAATAAAGGTGAGTCTGAAGAGTTCTAGACTTTGTTTCCTAGTCAGGGAACCAATGACTACCCCAGGCCCGTAATAATAGAAATGAAAGTCTGCTTCATTCCAACCTAGCACCATCAGATTGTGCCAGACAGTTCTCAGCTTCTTTGGCTTCTACTGACAAATACCCACAAAACAGACCAGAATGCTCAGCTAGCACTAATTGTTAAAAAACAATTGTACCTTTTGATCCTACCAATGGTCTGAATTCTGTCATCTGGAGCTATACACAAAATAAGGCCCATCTCTCTTCCATCTAACTACTTGCAAATATTTGCAAACAACTGTCACATCTTCCTTAAGTCTTCTCTATACCTGCCCTGACTTTATTCCTCTCGCCTCTAATATGGTTTTAGCTCCCTCCCTCTCCCACATCCTCCAATTTGTCAGTATTCCTCTTAGAGTGTGACACCCAGAATAGATCCCAATCTCTGAGGTTTATTACTTTCATTTCTACCACAAATAAGTCCCTGTCGGCATCAATCAATCTAGCAAATTTCCTGTGGGGTGACCTTCTAAGGTATAGAAAGGGAGGTGGAGGGCTTTGGAAACTGCCTGATGACCAGATTCGTTGGAGATTGTCCCAATGTCCTTTATAGAAGCAGCCCTGTTTTGTAATCTGTGGGACAACTACAAGGCCTCCTTCACCCCTTCTGGGGCACCTTTAAAAACCAATTTGCCCACTAAGGGCTCCCTGCATTTCTTTCAAATTACAGTGCTCACAGCTTCTGCACACCAGAAGCGATGCCTGATGCTGGTGGATGCAATAAACAGCAGAGAAAATAACTTGAGTGCTTAAAAAAAATGCAAGCACAAAACATAACAACCTTCCTGTGCTAATAGGAAAGTTGCAGGAGGAAAAAAGAATTAAATTAGAAATCAACCCTAGCTTGAGGGAGAGGTCAGCAATAATAGCCCTGCTTTGTCAGAAACCATAGTCTCACTCACTCGTTCTCGTACCTTCCAACCTGAATCAGATGCAAGAATCGCTTGGCAAAGTGAAACGTTTCTTCTTCAGCACAACCCCCTGCTGAATTCAATTTTTGCTTCTCAATCAGTAACCCCACAAGCCTCATCTGAGGGTACTTTTGCACCTTTACTCCTGCTACCTTTATACCATGGCTGTGCCAAGAATCCCACCTTGATCGAAAGCCAGTGCATGAAAGAAACAATCTGTGTGTTAGAAGAAAGAGTAATGCTCACACAGTACAGTGACCCACTACTTGGGAGGTATGAGGCTCAAAATAGGTGCATTGATTATTGTTAATATCTGACCTTGGGGTGGGTAAAGTAGAGTGAATAGAAAGGATGAAAGAGGCTAGTCCTTACATGGGCATACTCTGCCTTAAGGTACTATTACTAGTTACTTCAATATATTGGTCTATGGCAGGTAGGTAACAGACAGGACGCCAGTGCAGCTTTATATTTCAGAAACTGTCAAAAATTGTTATATATATATTAGTGTAGGCTTGGGACTTTGGGGAGAGCACTGCTTTGTCCATTTCCTCCTGACTCCAGCACACACCACAACCAAGAACTGAGCCCGCGATGCTCACAGCCATATTGCCAGATAGTTAGAAACACTCCAGAGTGCCCTCTGCTGCCAAGATATGGTCTAAGAGTGGCAGGTCTATATAAGGACTTGGGCTCTTGAAAAGGGCAATTCTGTAGAAGCAGAATCCTTCACAAGGTTGAGTTCCTTTCTAGGCCACACTCGAATAGTAAAGGGAGTCACCACCCCGAGGTCCACCCACACCCCTGCAGGGGTCCTAGAAGGTATGGTGTGTCTTGCTCAAAACAGTGGGTCTGGAAGATAGGAGCTGGTGAGCCGGGAATTGAACTAGGAACAAGGAAGGCAGTGGGTGCCGTGTCATATTCCTTGATCAGGGTATAAGCTAACTCTGCTCTGAGAAGGTTTACCTTCCTGCTCTTCCCCCACCTCCTCTCACAGAATCTCAACTTTCAAGTTTCTGCACTTGATATTCCCAGGACATAAAATAATTCACCTTCCAGATTCATTTTTCTCTTTTAAAAATGATCAGGTTCAGGGAGTTATTTCATGAGAAAAGTTCCCTGACTTTGTGATTTTGGTTTAAATGTTGAGTTTTTCAAGTAGGACGGAAGCTGAGGGCTAGACCCACGGAGGACAAAGCATAGAGAGTTGCAGTTTATTGTAATAATAATCCCATTTTCCCGCATGTGTTCAAGATGATAAATGGCCAGCATATCCCGATGGCTCAGCACATTACCGAGAACCATTTATCACCACATCCATCTGCAGGCAAATAAGATTATTCCAGTATTACTCCACTTACCAAGGTGGGGAAAGGATTTAGTTCTCTCTTTCTGCATCTATTTGTCTGTAGGCAAATGCATACTTAGACATGCATGTGTGTCTTCATGTAGCATCTTTGTGTGATGCTCAGATATGATAAGTGTACACGTGTACATGCATGAGATACAGGTGTGAATATCATCATGTGGGCAAGTTTATGAGTGAGCACAAATAATGTGAAGCTCAGAGACTACAGTTTCGGTCTGAGGGAGCTACCTGCATTACATGGCTGCAGGCCAGGTCCCTGAGCAAGATGACCATTTCACAAAGTGTTTCTGATTGATCACTTGGGGAAACCAGAGAAGGGAAAATGAATGGATTGGGGTAAAAATAGCACAATTTATTGAGAAATAAATATCTCAAAACTATATTCTTATTGAACTAATCACTGCAAATTAAGGATGGATAACTTTTTTTCCACATACAGGCAGGAGGAATCTACTGTCCTAAATTATTTTGCAGACGGTCCAGGCAGAGAAAACAGCAGCCACAAAAGTGACTGTGATAATAATAAAAATAACACCACATACCTAACACTTGGCACTTCCCATGCCTTGCCATAGTTCTAAGCACAGTACAAATATAAACTCTTCACACCCTGTTCAATATCCCATAGTATCCACCTTTTACAGGCGAGGAAACCCACAGTGAGGTCAGTGATTTTTAAATCTTGAATCATAAAATCAATTTACTGAGTTTGAAAACTACATATATAGGTTATATGTGTGTCCTTTCACATAGTTTGGCTTTTCTATAACTGACTTAAAGGATTTATATAGTCGCATTTATAAAGAAAAAAATTATGAAAAGTGTTAGCAAATACCAAATTAATGGAGACATTTAGATTAACAGTGTAAAGTCAATGCTTAGAGCAGCCCCAAAGAGAGAGGTTCCCAAGGCCTCAGTGCCTTTCTCAGTTCACTGGCCACAGATATGAGAGAGAAAGGGACTTCTTATTTACTAACTGGATTTCTAGGACTTGGGCCTCTTTCCTTTTTTGCCCCAGAGGACACACCCACAGCCAGTTGAAGTATATATTGTTATAGTGACATTTGAGGAAATCTTTGGTTCCAATTTTACATAGCATAGGTCAAGCACAGGTATGTGGCCCATGTTTCTCCCTTCACTCTGGCTCTGTCTAAAGTGATTTAGTGTGGGTCCAACCCCGAGAGCAAATGGGAGCTCATGTGGCTGAGGCCCTTGGACCACTCCAGACTTCACAGTTCTTCCTTGCAACACCTCCAACCACCCTGAGTCCAAAGCTACAGTGTTACCCCCAGATCCTTTTGTCCCCCAGGCCCCTCCACGGTGCTAACAAAGATTCCCTCCTCCAGTCCTTGGCCAATCTGTCTATGGATCTATCCACAGAATTCCTCTACACAATGCCTTTCTCATTTCTGAACACAAGTGCCCTTGTCGTGTCCCCCAGAGTGTCTTTCTTTTTCCATCATCCCTGACCATCAGGCTCTGTGGCCATGTAAACTTCCATATGTCCCTTTGGATCTCAGTTTCCTCGTCGGTAGAATGAGACCATTGAACTAAGTGATTTCTAACTGCTTTCCAACCCTCACATGCTGAGCCTCAGTACCCCCTGGAAATAATCAGATCCCTTACCCCTCTTTTCAATTCATTTCCCTGATGCTCTCCCAGAAAAGCACTGGCCCAGGGTCCCATGCAAAGCCACCCAGTATGTGCCCTCCCTGAGAGTCAGAGAGCAAAGACCAAGAATCCACCATGAACAGCACTTACCTGAGAAATCAAACTTGTGGAAAAGCAAGCACAGTGATCAAAAAGTCATCTTCTTATAGAGTATAGTATGAAATACAGTATACAGCAGTAGAAAGAGCATGGATTTGGAAATCAGATAAACCTGGGTTCAAATCTCATCTCTGCCCATTAACAGCTCTGTGGTCTTATAAAAGTTGCTTTGCTTGTTTAATCTTCCATTTTTCTTAACTTTAAAATGTGTCAAATAGTATCTAGCTCAACCATCATACATATAAAACCTGCTGTAATCACCTCCTGAAACTGACATGGGTGATATATGTGATATGCCCCCAGAGAAGCTTAAAACCTCCTAACCCTGATTGACCTCAGTTACGCACTGCAACAGGCTTGGCCATGAAGCTTAGGAAGGCCTCAGAGCATGGGCTGCAGAGCAAGAGGAGAATACCAAGACCATCAAAGGCTAGGCTCTCTATCAGCAGGCAACTGATGAGGAGCAGAAAAGTACATGGGCAGAGGACCCAGTTTGGTGGTTGAAACAGGATTACGAATTACAGAGCATGCAGATACTCTGAGTCATTTGGTAGCAGGCAGGGTTATGATCTTGGGCCTGGGTAAAGGTCTACCCAAGGAGGCTGATGAGAACTAATCAGAGTGTTAGCACCTCTGCAAAGGTATCCAAGGGATTCAGATAGGAGTCAAGTCCCAGATAGGGACTAGAGTGTCAAAAAAATGAGCCAAGGCAGTTCAGTCACATTGGTGAGGCTACTATGGAGGCTTGGGAACAAGTTAGAGTTCAGTTAACTCATGGGTGGTACGGCTCAGCCCAGCTCCACCGTACACTGTGTGGACCACATATACTGAGAGACATGCTGATGCATCCACGAGGAAAAAAACCGTGGCCCAAGGGATTGTCACTGGCAGACTCTGGCAGAGCTTCCTCCTTTGGGTTGTAACTAGTGGAACCAGCCGGTCTTCTAGCCACCATCAACTGAGAGAAGAGAGCAGGGCTTCTCACTGCCTCCTGATCAAAGTGGGAAACTGGATCTGCCTCTGCAGGAAGTAAAACCTTTCCTCTCTTTTCACCCTTCCAGTGAAATCCGGCCCAACTCCACTGTGCAATGGGAAGAAGTGTGTCGGCCTTGGGTCTCCGGCCTTCGGAAGCTGATGGCTAGCATGACCAGCGACTCCCTGAGACATGTGTATGGCGAGTTGGATTTGCAGATTCAAAGACAACGTACTGTGTAAATGCACAGGAGGCTGAGACAGACCCAGGCACTTGGCCTCTTCTAGTCTTGGCTGAGGAAATTCTACTGCAAAAATAGTTAGCTCTTGCTTTAACTTAGTTGTGAAGACCCAGGCAGGACAGGACAGAGTGCCAGAGCGGGGATGCTGTGTATTTCAGCGATAGACTTGCCCAAACTCAGGCTATTCATAGTGGGAGCTAGTTTTTCATCGCTCTACCTTCCAAAGGATTCTGAGGATTAGCTTTAATTAAGCCCTAATTAAACTCTCATATCTCATAAGAGTAAAAGTCATCATTTATCATCACAAATGGCTGCAGCTTCAAATATCAGAGGACTTCCCTTAGCAAGGGGATTTGCTAAATACCTGGCCTCATGTAAAACAAGATTTCTGGTCCCCCATTTCTACTTTTATAAGGGTGATATACTCCCCCAAATGGAGGGAAGCACATGATTCAGTCCTAAAATCCTATTTCCCTTTCTTAGAAGCAGGTTCTGCCCTCCGTGTCAGAATATTTTTCCCCATGGATTGAGTACAACATCATTTGTCTTCTTGGCAAAGCTCAGGAAAGGTCTTTTATCTTGCACCTGCAGCAAAGCAACTGCCTGCCAAATTTCACAGATTTGCCTTGTGAGAAGATGTGGCCCCCTATTAACAAATTGCATTTGTGAGAAACTTAATCACCTAAGAGGAACTAAGAAAGCAGGTGCAATGCTCAGATCTATTAAATAATGCAGTTTTATGGTGCATTTTATAGGCAGTGTCACACCATGGCCTGATTAGCAGGAATCAATAGCCCTTACTTTAACCCTTTCTGGGCTGCAGTACAGGCATACCTCAAACCACCACAATGAAGTGGAGTATCCTAATAAAGTGAGTTGTAGTTGTTTTGCTGGTGAAGGGTCTTGCCTTCAATTTGTAAAAATTGCAAGGATGCCTGTACTAGAAATTAATGAGTCTAGCTTGCAATGGGAAGAATCAGGAATTAGACTCTTTAATTAGTAATTATACTTCACCTGTCTCTCTGGGATCATTTTGCATAATGATACATTTTAGAGACAGAATATGCCCAACAATATGGAGAAGCAGGAAGATTTAGTGACCAAACCTGTGGGAGGATGGGCAGCCACTAATTCTCTCTTGTCCTTCACATCACCCATGTTCAGACCTCAGGTCATCACTCAGATGCTGAGAAGTAATATGGACTCTGCCTTGCAAACAGCTAGTAGTACTGCAGACCCTGTAACAGAGGATTCTGACATCATTTGTATTGTGCTCCAAGGTATTTATTTGCAAAGCTGATGCATGGTCAGAATTACCCCACTGATATGTCTAGGGTGTGATTTAGGTCAGTAGATTGTGATTCTTAACAAACAAACAAAAAAGAGCAGAAGAAACCAGAGGGAGAGGCCAGAATGGAATTCTTAGTCTGTATAACCACATTTCTAAGTCTTTGAGACTGTTTATGAGCTTTTAGCACCAGGGTCCATGAAGGTAGCTAGTTCCCTATGGGCACATCATACTAACTTTACTAAGTAATCTCCCAGCATTTGCCAAGCCTTCCAATATCCAATTTTAAAGTTAAAGGCATTCTGTGAGACTGTCAAGCCGATTTAATGTAGTATATTCTTATTAACTAGAATGTAATCAAAGCTTAAAATAAAGTTAACCTGATTGTGTTTGCATCTGCACAAAAGTGAATGCTTTGAATTTTCAGTATAACATACTACTACTCAATTGCTCAATAAATCACCCTTCATTAGTAGGTCACCCACCTGGACAAGAAGACAAGCATTTCTCCTTTCAAAAAATTGACCATAGTTGGTATTGATGTCAAAGTAAGTTCTCCTTGCTGCTCTCTCTATATTTTAGCCACATTCACTGGAGGAAGAGGGTTACATATTTAGTTCAAAAACCAGCTTCTAGAAACTTCCTCATGAATGATCTCATTAATCATTAGGGTAAATCAGTGGACAAGCCAGCATGAATACCTATCGTAATGAATACTTGTCATAATGAACACCTTTTGTGGTCTTAAAACAGAGATAGAAAATATATGGCAAATATGCACAGGAGAGCCTACATTCATGGTAGACATCACTCAACAATTGCAGCTCATATTGCACCTCAGAGACCTTCTCAACACAGTACTCCAGGAAGCTATTACCAACTAATTTGGAGTTGGCACACAAAACTTATGTGCTATGTCTACTTTAGAGCCAGTCCAACTCTTTTAATAGCTGAGATTCTAGACCATATAATAATACTGTGGCTCTACAAATTATATTTTAGCAATGGTAAGCAATGTATCTTAGATAGCAGCAGAGATTCTAAATTCTAGTTTCTGCCTATACTAGTCCTCTGTGCCTTTGAAAAAATCCTTATTTGCGTTTATAGCTTCAGTGGCTAAAGAGGGGTAACAATACTTACATTTCCACAAGATTCTTCTGGGGAATATATCAAGCAAACCTTAACAACAACACATGCAAAACTAGGAGGTAGAAAAAATGGCGGAGGCTTGGACGGACGTGTTGGTGCTTTGTCCCGGACCAGATAAGGGCAAGCAGCTGAAACAGGTAACATACAGCCCGAACAAGCAGAGGAGACTCAGCTGAGAGACAGTCTGCAGCCAGGAAAGACAGAGAACTCCTAGAAAATGGGGATGGTTAGAGATTGAGGCTGAAACCTCCCCCTGGGCGCCAGCTCAGCGGCGTGACCGCGCCATCTTGAGTAGCTGTTATCC